GGCCAAGCAGCATCCTGCTCCTCTGATGCTGCTTGGCCTGCTGTGTTCATCCAGCTCTACACCTTGTTATCTCAGGATATTGGTTAGGCCACTTTTGAAATACTGTATTCTGTTCTGGTCTCCCTGCTACAGGAAGGATGTTGTGAAACTTGAAAGGGTGCAATAAAGATTAAAAAGGACATTGCTGGGACTGGAGGGTTTGAGTTATAGGTAGAGGCTGAATAGGCTGGGTCTATTTTCCATGCAGCTTTGGAGGCTGAGGGGTGACTTATAGAGAATTACAAAATCATGAGGGGCATGGATAGGGTGAATAGACAAGGTCATTTTCCCACGCTATGGGAGTCCAAAACTAGAGGGCATAGGTTTAAGGAGAGAGGGGAAAAATTTAAGAGGTAACTGATGGACAACATTTTCATGCAGAGGGTGTGCGTGTATGGAACGAGCTGCTAGAGGAGGTGGTGGAGGCTGGTACAATTAGAATATTTAAAGGGCACTTGGATGGTTACATGAATAGGAAGGGTTTAGAGGGAAATGGGCCAAATGCTGACAAATGGGACTAGATTAATTTAGGATACCTGGTCAGCAGGGACGAGTTGGACTGAAGGGTCTGTTTCTGTGCTGTACATCTCTATGACTGAATGAAGGCGTTTCTCCTCATCTTGATCCTGAAGCTGTGTCTCCATGCTTTAGATCCCCTGACATTGGGGAGAGGGAACAATCCCTCAGCATCTACTGCGACCAGTTGGCCAAGTCCTATTCTCGTTGGCCAGCTGATCCCACAGAGACCCGGTAATGTTCTGGGGACCAGGGTTCAAATCCTGCAACGGCAGACAGTGAGATCTAAATTCAGTAAAATATGTGGAATCTAACGGCAACCATGAATCCACTGCGATTGTGTCCCATTCTTGGAAACTCGAGCATGTTGACCCAATTTACTCCTAGAGACCTTCGCACACCCCCTCACAGGTTAAGTCTCACTGTCCTGAAAAGGAGACACCAAAACGGCTCATGGGATTCCAAATCTGCCCCCACCGAAACCAATTAGACCAAGGGTTCTGGTTTCCTGTGCTCTAATGCTTTGTAGGGAAGGCCAAAGCTCTTACCTCCACTGCTTGAAGCCACAGCCATGACCCAAACACATTCACTCCAAAAACCTCATCCCAATCGGAACCCAGCTCCCATTCCCCAAGGAACAAATGTTAGACCCTGAAATGGGAGGCAGGAAGGTGGTAGTGTATGGGGGCACTGGGAGGGAATAAATGACTTCCCGGTCTCGGGGGAAGGTTTTGTGGAGCCTGCTCTACCTAAGGCAGGAGGTCCTGCTCCAATGGAGAGGTGATTCGGAGGGAGGTATGGCAGGAGGCGTCCCATCGTGTGAAAGAACTCCCAGAGAGATCACTGACGTCGCAGAGGAAAATCGGCAACGGATTGGTACACAGCAAGAACCGTGATGATTATCCAGACCATCTGTTTTACTGACGCTGGCTTAGGCAGTGTAAACATATCTGTATCTAACCCCGTGCTGTCCCTGTCCCTGGGGAGTGTTTGATGGGGGACAGTGTAGAGAGAGCTTTACTCTGTATCTAACCCTGTGCTGTCCCTGTCCTGGGAGTGTTTGATGGGGGACAGTGTAGAGGGAGCTTTACTCTGTATCTAGCCCTATGTTAAATTCTTTATATTCACACACGTTATAATCTATTTCTGAAGTGACTAATGGAGAAAGTGATCTGTAAATATTTCAGGGGCACTGTCCTATTTGAATTGTTAGGCAATTGCGCCACCTGCTGAACATTTCATTATGGTCCTTGAGGGTCAGTCTATCCTTCTGCTCCAACAATAAAATCCAACGCATTCTTACGGTACTAGCATTGCTTTTTTAGATTAGGTAGGAACCGCACAGCAGAAGCAGCTCCTGTCCTAAGGCTGGCTTCCAACAGCAGAAATAGTCTCCACAGAGGATTCTGTTGCCCCATGTATTGGGGAGCCTGGATCCCAATCGCAATCCAATCCAGTTGGCACCCCGTTTCCACCCTGGCCTCAATTGTGATGCCTCCCCAGTTGAAATGCGAGGCGCTCATGAAAGGAGACAGGGAGCTGAAGAATTCGTAACCCAGCAAGAGGGTGGGGGGAATCTTCAGGATGGGGGCATGGTGTCGAGGGGAGCCAGCGTTTGGCTGCCCCTAAGCGTTAGCACAGCTGCCTCACAGCACTGGGGACCCGGATTCAATTCCACCCTCGGGCCACAGTCCGTGTTGGCGTTTGCACGTTCTCCCCGTGTTTGCATGGATTTCTTCCAGGTGCTCCTCCCACTGTCCAAAGATGTGCAGGTTATGGTGGGTTGGCCGTGCTAAATTAACCTATAGAGTCCAGGTTGTGCAAGCTAGGTGGGTTAGCCATGGGAATTGCAGGGTTTACAGGGATAGGGCAAATCTGGATGGGATGCTTCTCCTTGGAGGGTCAGTGCAGACTCGATTGGCCAAACAGTCTCTCTCTCTGCACTATAGGGATTCTAGGAATGTTTACCGAAGAGGGAGGCTCTGATTTGAGATGTTTCAAATATTTCATAAAGTTGAGCTGTGGATCTGCCTGGGCTGGATGGCAGGATGTAGAGCAAAAAAGTACAAAGCAGGGGTAGGCTATTTGGCCTTATGAGCCTGTTCTGCCATTCAATATGATCATGGCTGATCATCAAGTTCTGACCCTCTTCCTGCTTTCTACCCCACGCCCTTTGATCCCTTTAGCTCGAAGAACTATATCTAACTTCTCCAAAATATTCAATGTTTTTCTGTGGCAGAGAATTCCACAGGCTCCCCGCTCTCTGGTTGAAGACATTTCTCCTCATCTCAGTCCGAATGTTACCCCGGGTTGTGGACTCCTGAGAATGGGAGGAAATTTTAGAACAATTAAGGAAGAGGTTAACTCAGTATAATTTAAAGTTCTGGACAAAGAGTGTTTGTTTAAAATGCTGAAGGGCTTCTTTGAAGCTAAGAACGTTTGAGCTCAATTATGTAAATGTTCCAAGATGAGATTATCAGATTTTTGAGATAGAGGGATGAGAAAGCCACAGTGAAATGAAACCCTATCGATATGAAAGTGAAGGGAATTTTGTTTGGTGCGAGTATTGTAAAGGAATGTTGTTGGGATTAATGAGTTTGTATTTTACAGTGCGTTTTGCAATGTTTAAATTTATGTACAAACAGTTTGCTTTATTCTGTATTGTCTGTACGTGTCTAAATAATAAACTGTAGTTAAAAGCAAATTTGAAACATCGCATGCTTGTGATAGGCCACAAGGCCAAACCAAAGCAAAAAAATATCATCAAGACAGATTTCAGCCTGGGATAACATCAGCTGGGATCATCCTGCCTCCTGAACTCACTCCGCCCTCTCTCTGAAAACCAACTTCTTTAACCGAGTGGCAGCCAAACATTTCCAACAAGATAGCAGCTGGAAATGTCAGATAAAATAGTGAAAAGCTGTGGGTGGTGGAGATCAAGAAAGGAAAAGAATGGAACTGGAAAAGCCAAGCTGCCATGAAGGAATAGTGCAAGGCAAAGGTTTAGCAGGAGTAGTCTGTTCAGCCCTTCCAACCTGTTGTATAGTTCAACATGATCACTTTGACTTGACAGCCTTTGATCCATTTAGCCCTGAGTGTTAAATCTAACTCTATCTTGAACACATTCCATGGAGACAAAGAACTTAGCAGCTGGAAATGGCCATCTCCATACTTCAAGATGATGATCCAACTCAGTCCCCTGATCCCTGCTTTCTCCCCATACACTTTGAGCCCTTTAGACCTAAGAACTACATCCAACTCCTCGAATGCTTGGCCTTAACGGTTTACTGTAGCAAAGATTATTCAGCCCAATGTGCCTATTTTTGTTTTACTGAGAGAGAGGAGGAAGAACCTTTACGATATTGGGGGGCGGGGGGGACGGCGGAACCAGCGGTAGAGGTGACGGCCGGAAGTTGATCCGCCCGGAAGGAAAAGACGCGACGGACCGGAAAAAGCAAGTAGGGGAAAGTGGACGCACAAGATGGCGGCGCAGAGGTGCCACGTGTGGGTCGGAGCGGAGACGGGGATCCTGAAGGGTGAGGCAGGAAAGGCCGAGGCTGCGGCTGGGGCCTAAAGGGACCGGATGCGGCTGGGCGCCGGGCTCTACCCCCGCCCCTCGGGGGGGGAACTAACCTCCGTCTCTGCTTCTATTTTCAGGCGTTAACCTGCGGCGGAAACAGGCCACAAACTTCAGCGAATTTAACCGCGGGCAAGAAATCAGCGAAATGTGCTGGAGGCAGAACCAGGTCAGTGACCCCCAACTTCACCCAAAATCACCCCCGTCACCCTGTCCCCCCC